GGACGGGGCCTTAAGTCAGGCGTAATTAATGAGACTCATTCATTCCCATGTTTTTGGCTTGTTAGGCTGAGCCTATAACACCAGCCTGGCCCCAAGGGAAGCTCCATGAGGGCTTATCGACACAGCCTTGCTGGTGGCTATTTTTCTACTGGCTTGGTATTCCTGAACCCAAAGGGCCTGTGGCCCAGGGGAACTGCTGAATGCAAGGGAGTGTCACCCTGACCCAAGCAATCCTGTTAGTTCTGTTCTCCCAGTCCTTTTTTCTTTTTTTTTTTTTTTTTGGTTAGGCAGTGGGGTTAAGTGACTTGCCCAGGGTCACGTGTCTGAGGCCAGATTTGAACTCAGGTCCTCCTGAATCCAGGGCCGGTGCTCTATCCACTGTGCCACCTAGCTGCCCCTTCCCAGTCCTTTCAAAGGAGAGAACTGGAAAACCTGGATTTCAGGTCAGAGGGCCTGGATTCAGATTTGACCCTGTTGCTTCTAATAGGTCCACAGATTTCGTGCGAGAAGGGACCTTGAGGCCCAACCCTTCTCTTCACTGCCTTTATTTTACGGATGAGAAGAGTGGACACCCAGAGCAGTTACTTGTCCAAGGCCAGAGATAATCGGTATCTCGATGCGCTGGGATTTGAACCCAGGGGCTCATTTTGCACAACCTGGGTCACCTAGGATAAGTCCCTTAGTTCATCTGCAAAGTGGGTTGAACTCCAGTGATTCCTAAAGCCTGTTCCAGCTCTCAATCCCTTCAGTAACTAGTGTGAAGGCAATAAAGAACACAGTGACCAGGAAGATTTTTTTTTTTTTCCATCAGAAGCTAGAATTAAAAGTCAGGCTCTGAGTTTTAGATGAACCTTTCATCTTATTCTGCTTAATCATGAAATACATCCTGTGTCCTGTGTTTACTGGATGCCATCCAACGCCAGGGGGTGCCCTGGGTATCAACCAGTCCAAGCAACCCAAACCACCTGGTTGCCAATCACTGCTAAACCCCACCCCTGTTGGGGTGGTCCCTCAGTCTAGGGATGTGTTAGTATGTGAGAGGGTGTGTCCTCCAATCATATCTCTGGCCCCCAGGTGCTTGGCTGCTTCTTCCTCCCATTCACAGCTGTCGAAGACTTCTGCAAGAAGCATTGTTTAGAAAAGTGTTTCGTGAAAAGGCAGCGTGGTTCTCAAAACTGTGGTCCAGGACCCCTCAGGGTCTCTGAGACCCTTTCGTGGGGTCCGTAAAGTCAAACTACTAAGGTTGTTGTCTGCCTTCTAAAAGCATCCGCCCTTCCCTCTGTCTGTGAGACTGGATTTTCTTCATATACTTTAACCAAAGCAATATCGCGTGCAGAAGCAGATAGGAAAATTCAGCTGTCTTCTATTAAGCCAGACATTAAAGAGATTTGCAAAAATATGTCAAACAATACCACTCTCCTCACTAATTTTTTTTTTGTTTTGGAAAATAAAATTATTTTTTCATTTAAAATGTTATTTATGTTAGCATATGTATTTTAGTATTTAGTAGTTTATATATTTATATATATATTTAGCATTTTAAATGAATAAATATTTTAAAAATTTTTTCAGTTTTAATTTCTAATATGGTAAATATTGATAGATGTAACCCATATAAACAAAAGGTCTTGGGGCCATCAGTAATTTTTAACAGTATATAGGAGTCCTCAATTTTTAAGAGGGTCAGGGGGCCCTGAATCCAAAAAGTTTTGAGAACTACAAAAGGGTGAAAGGTTTTTTTGTTTTGTTTTGGTCTGAATCTGTAATTTCATTACTGTAGGGAACTTCCGGTGAGAAAACTCCCTCTACCAATGCAGATTAATCAGTGCAATCAGTGCAGATTAGCTGTTCTATAATTTAGGACATTGGCATAGTCAGAGGACCCAGGGCCAGCTCCTAACTTACCTGTGTGACTTTGAGTATGTCACTTAATGTTCCTTGACCTCATTTTTCTTAATTGTCATTAGCTTAATGCCTGTTGTCACCCCTAGATCTTTCTTTCCTGTATTTGCTACTTAATCCTGACCCATCTTCCTGAGTTGACCCTTACCAGCTGTGTGACCCTGGGCAAGTCACTTAACCCTATTTGCCTCAGTTTCCTCATCTATAAAATGAGCTGGAGAAGGAAATGGCAAACCACTCCAGTATCTCTGCCAAGCTCCAAATGGGGTCATGGAGAGTCAGACAACTGAAACAATCGAACAACATTTCTATTTGATTTCTCTTTGTGCTGGCTGTTAGGCCTCATTAATGGTCAGCGATAGACTAACAGTTGGGGGATACTCTTGTCATTTTAAATTCTTTATCTTATTTTTATTGATGTCTTTTGTCTTTACATCATCTTCATTTCCAAATATATCCCCCCGACTCCTCTATCAAGCAAACGCCTTGAAAAAAAGATTTCTAAAGAAACAACACAGCTCAGCAAAACCAACCAACACATTGGCCGTGTCTGACAGTATCTGAAATATTCCATAGACGTAGCCTCCTGCTTCTGCAATGAGGGAGGTAGATTGTCTTAACTCTTCTCTCAGACCAAGCGTGGTCATTGTGCCACATTCCACTTCTTCAGATTATTCTTTTTGTTAGCATTCGAGTCATTATGTATAGTACTTTCCTGGTTCTGCATTCTTCTGTTTGAATCAGTTCATCAAAATCTTCCCTGAATTCTTCATATTTGTCATGTCTTACAGTGCAGTAATATTCTATTACATTTAAGCACCACACTTTATTTACTAATTTACCATTCTGTGGGCATCTACTTTGTCTCCTCCCAGTTCTTTACTCTAAAAAAGAGCGCTGCGGTGGTCATAGGGGACCCTTCTATCTTTGATTTCCTTGGGCTATATATATGCCTAACAGTAGGATCTCTGGGTCATTTTAGTCACTTTCTTAGCATAACCGCAGATTGCTTTCCAGAACGGTGGGACCAGTTCAAACCTCCACCATTAGTACGTTAGGGTGACTGTCCTTCCATAGCTCCTCCAATGTTCGCTATTTCCATAGATGATCATCTTTTCCAATTTACTGGGCATGAGGTGAAATCATGGAATTGGGGTTTTTTGCATGAGAACACTCTTCTCAGTACCTAGATTCCAAGTTCTTTCCAAAGTCTCTTTTACTCTCGTTTTTTGAGCTTATCACTGGTTTTCCTGGGACTGTCCATATGCCAATTTACTTCTACCCACCCATGCTCTGTGCCCCTCTCTCCAAATCCTCTCCTAATAAGTAGGAATGACTGCAAAATAATAATGAAATGCTACACTTTTAAAATAATGGAGGGACCTTCTCTTCCTGCTGTTTTTTTTTTTTCCCTTTGCATGTATCTCTGAGTCTAAAGTTATACTCTAATCCTTCACTTTGGGGTGGAAATGATTGAGTTTTCAAAATCTCTACCGCATTGGAAAGACTTTAATAAAAGGGTCAGAAGCAAACCATGGATCTGTTGTCTGAGGCTCTGCAAAGCTAAGTTTGTAGAGAGTCATGATCTGACTGCACTGATTTGCTTTGCTTAAAGAAGTTATAACCAGGGTAACTGCTGGTAAATGTTTAACAATTGATTCTCAAAAACTAATAATAATAAGCTTGACACACTTTAAAGTTTAATCTATCTGTATTAACATTTCCCCCTTCACTTTCTTAAGTCTAGAAATCACAAAACAATAAAATCAAGCCCTGATTTCTATCATTTACATATTTTCGAAATGTACATGTTCACGCTAGAAATTTAACAGTCAGCTCTCAAGCTTGCTCCAGCAAATAATCCAGTCATTAAATGTATTACGCTAAATGCATTACTTGTACCATGCATTTTTATAAAAGGAAGGTGGTGGTTGTATTGTCACAATATGTTATACCTTTCTTTAGGTCACAGAGGGTTTTTGCCTGCCCCCCAGAATTCTATATGTGTTACTGGTGAAAATACAGTATTCAATATATTTTATAATTAAAACATGATCATCACTCATGACATAGTTATCCTGGGGAAACCATTTAAAAAAAAAAACAACCACAAAAATCAAACACACCCAGACAAAATCTCAAGATGTAACCCCTTAATCTGTACCTTAAGCTCCAGAATTACATGGATCAAGTTTAGTTTTAAGGAGCAGCCCCAATAAAACATGTCTTTTTAATTCTGGAAAATCTCAGAATATAGCTCAAGTTATCAGGACTGGATTCAAATCCTGATCCCACCGCTGGCTGCTGGCTGCATGGCGGTAGACAAGTTATTCACCCTTTCTGATCCTACGTTTCCTCTTCTCTAAAATGAGGGGGTTAAATTAGATAGTCTCCCAGCTATGACCCCATGTAGTGAAATCAAGGGACAGCAGATCATCCTTCCCCACTATATGCAAAATATTAAAATATTCCCAAGGTGCTGTATGGGGCACTGCCGAAGTCTTCTCTGGAGAGGCATCCTGGTACATGGAAAAGAGAAGATTGCACTAGGTGGCCCGAGAGCACTTCCACGTCAGGATCTATGACCCTATGATCCTTTGATTTATGTCAAGGAAGAAGATTTTACTAAGCCCCTACTACAGCCAGAGGACTAGATTCGAATCATAACTCTGCCATTACGTTTGTTACCTTAAGGCAATCTCTTAACCTGATGTCTGCCTCAGTTTCCTCATCTGTAAAATGAGAGGTTTGGACACAACAACCCAGTAAAACTTTTAAGGAAACAGTGTGTTGAGTATGAAGGGCATTGGATTTGGAAACAAAGGACCTGGATTTGAATCCTGGCTCGGGCACTATATATCCATGTGACATTGGCTGAGTCACTAAATCTCTCTGGCTTCAGGTTTCTTCATCTCTTCTTGGAGAATATAATGAACCAGCAACTGCCTCAGATTTGGGCAACAAAAGAGGGAAGTGGCAAGTACCAGGAGAATCCACAGATTGGATTATCAGTCCTAGAATAATCAAGAGTTGACTATAATCATAATTTTCAAAATTTAACCAAACTGTAAAACTTCCCCATCCTACTTTCCTTACAGGCTGGAACCAATGGTTACATGGCTCCAGAAATCCTGAAAGAAGAAGAAAGTTATTCCTATCCTGTGGACTGGTTTGCAGTGGGGTGTAGTATTTATGAAATGGTAGCTGGGCGAACACCATTCAAAGATTACAAGGAAAAGATCAGCAAAGAAGATTTAAAGCAGAGAACCTTGAAACAAGAAGTCAAATTCCAACACCCAGGCTTCACAGAAGAAGCGAAAGACATATGTCGTCTCTTCCTGGCCAAGAAAGCGGAACAACGCTTAGGAAGCAGGTAAACATAGGTAGGCTGTGTAACTGGTGTTAGTCTTATTAACAATGATTACTTAGGCTGTTTTGGATCAATGAAGATGCTTTGTCATTGAGCACTGGTGCATTTCTGATGTTGAACCATTTTACAGTGCCAAGGAATTTGGTGGCAAGAACCTTCTTTTTTGGGCCTTCAGCACCTGTGGCCATAGCCCCTGTAGAAATAGTTGTTAGGTTGCATCTCCAAAGGGGTTACTCCCCAGGATGATGGCTGTGGACATCACAGGAGCATTGCCATACCCAGGGCTTTTGGGCTCAGGATGCTGGGCTCTCTGGTGGTCAAGGTGGTGATGGTAGTTTGGTTTGCCAGGCACAGGCTACCTCCTGTCCCTTCCTCAGCATGCCATGATGCTACACGTTGTCTCTCTCATTAGAATGTAAACTCCTTATGGAGAGGCGTTATGTTTATTTTCCTTCTCTCTCCAGCACTTAGCATGATGCCTGACCCTTAGTAGCAAATACCTGTTGGTTGATTGATTGGTGCTTGTCATTCAAACTATCTGTATACTATATAAATACCAAACTGTATTGTCAATTAGGTAACAAGTATGCTACTGAGTGTGTTACTGGGTTGGGTACATGGACAGTGGAGTGTAGAGTTCGTGTCAGTTTTATTGCTTCTCAAAATGAAAAAGTAAACTCAAGTTATCTTGCAAAAAAAAAAAACTAAAATTTAAAACACAAACAAAATTGGTGGTATGTTGCAGGTTCCCCATTTCAGAAATCACGCTGAGATGAGAATCAGTCTCTTTATACAAAACATGATTTGATTAAACTGTTTTCTCTCTACTGTTAGGATTAGTTTTAAGACTCTGAAAAATCTATATGAATATATATTATAAAAGATTTAGAATGGGAAGGGATCCTGGAGGTCATCTCATTCAACCTCTTCAATTTACCAATGAAGAAACTGGAAGCCAGAGAGATTTAATGACTCAGCCAATGTCACATGGATATATAATACCTGAGCCAGTATTCAAATCCAGGTCCTTTGTTTCCAAATCCAATGCCCTTCATGCTCAACATACTGTTTTACTGGGTTGTTGTGTTATTTTTCTGCCAACAACATTTTTGTGCTCCATTCAACCCATTCTGTTCTTCAGTCTACTTCTTGATTAAAATTTCCCCCCAGATTTCATAAGCTTTCAAGGTTTATGTTCATCTTTTTGAGTTCTTTTAATGCTTTTATGGATTTATTTCATTAAAGTCATGTGACTGATTTTTTAACAAACGCTTTCACCCACCCCCAAGTCAGTATAGTTCTCTTTGAAGTAGTCACCTTGGGAGGCTTATTCCTTATTCCACCCATGCTGCTGCTGCTCAAAATATGTTTGGTGCTCCTCATTTGAAATTGCCTCCCTAGGCTTCAGTATTTTCTTCTAGATATCCTTAGTGACCGATCTTTGCCCTTTGAGAATGGACTTTAAAAGTAGAAAAATAGGGTGGGTGATCAAGCTGGGTTATACTGGTTTGGGTCAAAAAATCAGGGTGTGATTAGACTAGTTTCTTCATTGCAGGTGTTAATAATTAGCTAACTTGATTCTGAAAGCCATTCCAAACCTAGAGCTTACAAAGGTGATGAAGATAATACTTGATTGTCCACCCTGAACCTTGCTTTTCTTAAAACCTATCTAATGAGGGTGCTGAATTAAACGCTCACCAAAGCCCATTTCAGCTATAAAAATCTCATAATTCTCAATTGGATGTCTAAATTCTTTGGTTCGCCTTAGTTGAAAGTCATGTGGTGTGCTTTTTTAAAATAGAAGATGAATAAAATGCCCAAGGAAAATGCTGTTGTAAAGCATGGTTTTTGCCCCAAGCTTTATACTACAAAGCATCTGTTGTCATGACTTTCTTGAATAACTGTTGGTGAAGTTAGGGAGCACCGCGTATAAATAACAGCTGTTCAGTAACACATCCTCCAATGTTTTCATTCCAACTCCTCATTGATTCTTTTATAAAAAAAAAAAGTTTCATTCAAATAACAAAACACAAGTGAGTGTTTTCCTAAAACCTGAACCCATTCCAAGACTACAGATAGCTCAGCCCAGGGTCCAAGTGTCCTTTTCTGGGCTGTATTTGGATGTTTAAGATAAAGATTAAAACTCCAGGTCCTTGGAAAGCCTTTTTCTCTAAAGCTGATTCTACCTCAGTCCCTGTTCCTCCTTTGTGACCTGTCTGTTATTATTCCTGACAAGCCAAGAATATTTCCTAACACCTTACTCAGCTACCTCATGGGGTGAAATGAGGTGTGTTCTTATCAAAGACAAAAGACGGTGAGCCTTTAAGCTTGGAGCTGGGCTTACCCTGACATTCGTGTGTGTCTTTTTGTCATGTGGCTCCTGAGTGCAGCAGGAAAGGACAACATTAAGCTCTGAGGTTTCTGATAGAAGTACTTCCAAGAAACACAGCCCTCCCAGATGATCCCGACATCTGGGCTGGGCTTCACTGACCACACATCGTACCCAAGCAGAGACTTCATACATAAGCAGGTGCTTTCCAGCCTCGGTTAATATGAAGGGACTGATTCTCATCTCAGCATGATTTCCGAAATGGAGCGAGAGCGCCTGTCAGTTCCCTGAAACCTGTTCTGCTGCATTAATGAGCAGCAGAAGTCTTCTCTCTCTGGCTCCCTGGATAATGAGCAAGATGCTGCCTCTCTTGAGAGCTTCTCCTCTTCATGCCAAACCAAACTTCAGGGTGATGGGTAAAAAAAACACACACCACATAGCTGCCAGGGACCAGTCCAAAAGTAACAAAGGCCCTGAGTACTACCTAATAACAGAACTGTGGTGAGCGTCTCTAAGGCAGAGCCTTCATGTTCCCAGCTCCACAGTGACTGGGACACATGAGGTGGAGGTGAGATGAGGAAGGTCGTTATCTGGTTCCGTCCTCATCTTCAGCGAGCATTTATCAGGTAGCTACTGGCCTACCTGTGGGGAGAGAGGGAGAGGTTTGAAGCATAGGCCCTGCCCTCAGCAGGCTTGCAATCGAGTTGAACCTTCTGGGAAAGGTAATGGAACCTCAAAGTAGCTTGTGATTTCCCCTAATTTGGTGGGAATGTCGATTTAGAAGTGAAGAGGCTACAGCTAGCTATATCAGAAGGAGAAGGCTGGCCCATCTGTGCCCTGTTTTGCCAGAGTGCACTATTATATAAAAATTAGTCTTGTAAGGCTCCCTGAGGTCACTAAGCTTCTCAGCTATCTCTAGCTGCATCAGTTAAAGCTCCTCAGAGCTAGTTTTCATG